TGTTTGGGCATTTTATTTGAGTAAGTAGTTGGGTGGGTGGCATAGTGATTTACGGAGGCATACACCTAATAAAAATGCCACTCGAAGGGGGATAGGAGCGTATTGCATATTGGTTCGATTCGTCTAAAGCAAAGCTAAATAATAACGCCCCACTTGAGCCCCCTGCCCCATTCGCCGACCTGAAAACACGTGTAAAACCCAAACAAATGCAGCCGTCAAACGTTTTGTAAGGATAACGCAGCGGGCAAAGGACAACAAGGAGGGAATCGGGTGGAGGGGATACACATATAACAAAGGACCAACACAATAGACTTCAAGAGTTTGGATGACACTTTGAGTTATTTTGTTGTTGATGCTGTAAGAGCTCGAAAGCAAGACCCAAAGATATGGGAGGGTAGATTTATTGAAGCTCGGCCGGAACAGCGGCAAAAAGCATCTGGGATCTGAGGAGCCTTCGATAAGCGAGGGACAAGCGCCCACGACACAGATTTGCTTTTGAGCCGCAAAGCAAAAAATATAGAAAGTATAAAGTGGGTGAAAAAGTATACTGTTGAAATTTATATCTCGGCACCAGCATTCAACAGAGCAATAATCTAGGACCATGGGAGAACTGGCTTAACCCATGGGTACTGCGCTTTCAAATATTAAGGCATTAAATATTAAGCTCTAAGAAATCTCGGCACCAGAGTATACAATATTTAACTTCCTTTCCAGTCTAATATATTATCTGTATGCTGGTTCATGTTAATATAATAAGTGAGCTAAGTGTTCTGAGTATCGTAATAATTTTACTAAAGTTATTTATGGCATTTTCTTCATAAAAGACTCAACCTAAAAGAGCTGTGAAACTTGTTCTGCAGATTTAAAAACACTTCCCCAAATCAGAACAAACTCGATTCATTTTCATGTGTCTTATATTCAATTGAACTCTGAATAGTCGGTTCTCGCCCACTGGCAAAATATCGGTTAAAAGAAAAGCATCGGAGCCATCAAACCCATGTCTCGAGAACAGCCATTGGCAAATATTGCACAAAAAATACACAAAAACAAGGCGGAGAGGACAGGAAAACCGAAAGGAGATTGGAAAGTGCAGACAACAAAGCCGGCCAACAGGAGAAAGAGTTGAAAGGAAATGGGAAAATATTTCCAGCAGTCAAAGGGCAATGGAAAAACTATTAACCGAAACAACCCGTATCGAGCAAACAGTAAAGTGCTATTGTTTCCTGGAACGCTTTAATTGGTGCTTAACTTTGAAAACTTGTACTGCCAAAAATGATTACATTAATTGTTGCTTTATATTCTAAAAATTTGACTTTTATTTTGATAAAACCGCCACTGCTTTTAAATTGAAAACATTTTTAAATCCACCCGACTTATATTGGGCCAAATCGTTTTGAAACAAACGACTCCGAACGTCTACTAAGTCTACTAACCACAAACAGGCACCGCTTGAAAATAAAAACCCTGCATTCCAAAATCCAACCCAATAGAAAATCCACATTAAAGTGAACCACTCTGCATTCGAACAGGAAACGGAAAGCAGTCGACTTGAATCCATGTTTAATGGAAGTGCCATCAATTCAGATCAAAACCGGCCGTCATTAGAAAGAGACGCACAGCCAAAAAGAGAAGGAGATGGGTAGAGCGATGGCGAGAGAGAGAGAGCGAGCAGCAGGACTTGTCAGATGCCATAAATGCAAATGATTTATCCAAAAAGGCAACCGAAAGCTAATAAAATCATCAAAGACACCTTGCCATTGATAGTCACAAATGAGTCTGGCCAGGGATCTATTTGAATGCATATACTCGTATATACAGAATATGTGTGAGCATGTATACTTGCTTGCTGACGGCTGCTCGAAAACCTCAATCCATATATCAAAAGCACATTAGCACGAATTCGAATTGGCAATTGGTATTTACATGGCGAGCTGTACATACAGATGACAAAACCCCAAGCACATGTCAAAATTAAATATTATACCGCACGTTTGCTGACTCGTCCTGCATTTTCCATGGCCTTCCGCCCGCCTTTCCGCCCACTTTTCCATACCACCGCCCACTTGTAGACACGGCATTGGCATTGGCTTTTATTTGAATTCAGTGCGTGCGACTGTCACTTGTCTGTTGTCTGTTACATTCGCCGTGTAAACACAACCGCAGGCAATTTTGGCAATTTGCGTCAACAGGCGAAACACGGACCCAAAACCTCACCCAACCACACTAAATACGAGCTCAACATATGCAGTGAAAAAAGCTCAACAATTATTTCACATTTTATTGGATGAACATTATTTGTTGTCGATCATAAAGTTGTATTTGCCCTTCCCGAATGGAAATCAATTAGGAAATATTGTAGCGTAAAACAAATAAAATTTCAGTTATAACAAAAAAGACTAAAAATCAAACAAAATTATATTAAATTCCGAGTTCTTCCTCAGAGCTTTCTCTAGTGTGACTGAGTACCTATGACTTTCCCTACAATAGGTCTTTATACATGGAGACTCCTTTCAGATTTGTTGGAAATTATTTTTTTCCGTGCTCGAACAAGCCCCGAAACCCGAAAACAGATCTGGCGGCCAAGAGACAAACGTCTCGCCTTGGCTTAAGTCGAGAGGTAAATATAAGCCATGGGGGCTTTTGCCTAGACGAGCCCGATAAAGGGGATATGATGGAGAGAGGGAGTGGGCTATGCGGGAAAGCGAGCTATGTAAAGTCGCCTGCACCCAAGAAAATGTTTGCTTTTGTGCCGAACGGCGGCACACAAGGGCGGTAAATGTAAAACAAAAGCCCGGGAAGAACAAAAGGGAGACAAAAATTACAAAATACTGGAACAAACACGGGATGGGCTGGCTGGCGAAATAACAGGTGAGTGGCTAAAATACCCTATACTATTATAATAAAATATTATAGGCAAGGGTAATGATATAAAAAAAAAGTGTAAACACTCCCCTGGAGCGCTTCGTCACTACGTGAACTGCGGCCCATAGGGCCCAAGAAACATAATAAAGGTAATGAGCTGTAAATAATAACATATTATATCTAAGCCATTGTCGCTACAGCCCATTATATTAATATTTACTATATAATATAATATTTACTATAAAATACCTAATTTGGAATTGCCCGACGTATATATTTAATTAAAAAGTGCACTTAAAAATGAATAATTAAAAAATGTTTCGGTTGCAACTCAACTATTCCCTCGAGCCCATGATTCCTGCGCTCATTTTACTGGGTGCATGAGCGAAAACACAATAAATGGCACGGATACAAAAAATTTGCCATCTCAAACGTAAACACTCACACACGCGCTAACAGTTTCACGTAGACCAACACACTAACATATGAGCGTATATAGATATATAGAAAGAGAGACATGCAGTAATTTTATATTATGTACCGACCATATATAAATATTTGTGCAAGGTAAGCGGAATATTTTATATTTGCCGACGCTCCGCGACGTACCAAAGCGGGAACGAAATGAAAATCCGCCACATTACGTATACGTACGTATACGTAACCTATCGAGGATGCTTTGCTGGATGGGGAATTCGGATTGAGACCGGTGGTATGGCTGGGGTGTGGAAACCTTAAAATCGGTTGGCGTAAGCATCTGCATGCACCGCGGAAATAAATCAAGAAATAACATTTACACGTTCGTTTTATGTTGTATTTGCCACGTAACAATAAAAGACTCAACCCCCAATCTCCACTGGACCAATTTCCACACAGTCCAATCCCCATCCGCATCCGCATCCCCATCCTTCAAAGCACGTAAACACCCACTAGACAACCGTGGGATGGCAGTCCGGGGAGTTTTGGGATTTCACGAAGAGATTGGGGGACAAAAGGACGACGGCCAAATGCTGCAAAGCCAACCAAGACAATGCCACAAAGGAATTATTTACTACGTGATACAACACTGAAGTCATTCCCGGATAAATGTGCTCTGGTGCTCAGTTTCCCGCCACTGGTTTCTCGGCGATGGTGCTCTTGGAGCCCAGTGATGGTAGCGTGATGGTCGCATACATATGATGTGTGGGGATTGGTAATTTTCATAACTTATTTACGCACTCAGCTACGCGCACTTTGAAATTTGAAAACTTTGAAAATCGTGTAATTCGTAGTTCATTAGCTTGGTTACTGATTAGCTAGTGGGAAATGAAAGCGATGCGCAATCTTTTACTCTCTTTTAACTTTCTTTCAATCCAAATGTGTATTTTATTTAATTGTTAAAAATACCCTTGCAATAAATAAATCTAAGAACACATGATTAAAAGCAACGAATCTATTATTTGTTTTCTAATATCTTCAATTCTTAATCCCCAAATCCTTACCAACTTGTGCGTCCAATTTCGTGTGTTCGTGTTTCAATAAAACTTCAATATTCGAAATTTGTTCACTAGCTTATCATGGCCTAACCAAAATAAAAGCACATCAAATTAAGCACATCATGCCGCAATAAATTGTTTATGAGCTCAAATCGAGATTCTCTTTTTCTTGGTTATGCAAATATTATTAACGACACTTTGATTAGGTAAATCATTCACATTTTATTGACATTTTGTCGGTGTGAGTTTTCTGAAAACCACTTTAAATCGTATTTCTCCTTTTAGAGGTTCTCTAAATTAGATTAAAATCGATTTTAAATGAACTGTCAACTAAATGAAAAGCTTTTGCATCGACTGAGTAATTTTATTCACAAATATCTGTCTTCGTAAACCAGTTTCCACCATTTGCATGAAACTTGGTTCATTTAGTGCAAAATTTATTTCGCACAATTATGTTGACAATACATTTATATAAATATATCAATGACAGTAAAGCAAAGGTATGCCATTTTAATTAAGCTTGCACGTATTTCCATAAAATAAAACTGTAGATGAACATACAAAATCCCTTTCATTTCTAAACTGATTTAACTTTTTAGGGCAACATCTAAGCTACCTAATAGGGACACAATTTGCAAAATTACAAACTAAATTAATACTTACGAAGTCGTTGCCATCAGGCATTAACTCAAACTTCAGGGGGCGCTGGGCATTAAGCTCCAATCACGCTGCCATCCTCAGCCCGACTTTTGAGTGCTAAAGGGAGTGAAAGTACTATTAATACATAAAGAAAGCATTTCTCAGCCATAAGCGCCGAAAGGCCATCGTCACGGCCATCCTCATCTCCATCGCCCCGGCTATAGCTTTGGCCATAGCCATAGCAATAGCTATAGCCGTGGCTATCTGGCGGATCGGACCGGGGCGAAAGACACGCGGCGCATTAAGCAAACGACCGCCGCGAACGTTTTTGTTGTCGGGCAGCTGCAGAAGCGCAATAATAAAATTTTGCCGCAGCTGGAGTGCGAGGGCGGGAAATTGGCTTTGGGATGAGCGGTGGAAAGCGGAGGCCAGCACCAGCAACCGAAACGGGGCGGAAAGGAGGTTGGAAAATCTCCAACGCAGTTGCCATAAGAGAGTGGAAAGCCGGTCGGGCTAATCAGCTGTGCGCACGCTAAGTAAGTTTATTAGACTATTATTTTGAATTGGGTTTCTTCTCGCATTTTTTGGGCCATTGTCTGTTTGCTGGTCCACTGCATCTGGCTGTAAGCTGAGCTTCATTCAAAGGCCACCATTGTTCGGCTGCTGCATTGAACGGGAAAATTGCACTTTGGAGAAACTAAAGCTCGGCGAAATTAGGGGAAAAGATATTAATCTTCAGTATGAGCCATCCTTTGAAAAGTACCTACTGGCTTCCACGTTAGTGATAAATAAATTTATTGGTTAGACCAATAAATAAAATAGTGCCTTTAACAATAAAAAAAGAATCTATTATTTTTAGATACGTTTTTCATAAATTTGTAAGAACACTCGTCTTTAATCACTTATCAAAAAATCACTAATCATAAAATAAAATTAAATAAAAATAACTTACAAAGTTACCAAAAATTGTACCTTAAAACATACGAACACAAGGATCAAAACATATCTGGTTTTGATAGAGATATCATCAAATTTACAACATTCGTATAATTTTACTAACGATAAAAACTTACAGGGTGAATCTTACCAGTGTTGACAAACAAAGCAATTGCTGAGCAAATCGACCCATAAAATATCCGCGACTGCGGATATGCCGGGTACGCTGAAAAATTTATTACATTTGTGACCTCTTTAAAGAATCCAGGAAACTGAAAAACAGAAAATCTAGGAGCCCATTACCAAGAAGACCATTGAACTTGAGCAATAAAAAATGCCCCAAAAATATACACGATCTCCAAAAATTGTGAACACATGTTTGGCAAAAAATGGTTTGGAAATTTTTGTTTCCCCTTTTCAACTAACGAACATAGGTAAAGAATTGCACAACAAGAAGCTATCAATTCAAAGAAAAATATATACAACTGTTCAATAGAAAGCGTTCAACGAATTCCAATTTCCGGGCCAATAAAAATCAAGTGGTGCTGTACCAGAGATGAGGCTTTAGTTAGATACTCTGCTAAAGTAACTATTAAATGATATATAATATAATTTACATATTTGAATAATAATGGGTCAGCCTAGTCCACATAAACTTGTAATTGGTGTAGACTAAATTGATATATATTCTGTATTGTATAGGTATACAAGACAAGTGCCCAACTCTATTAAGAAGAGGCGACAGGGAATCCGGTTAACCCATTGAATGCGTTTGTCAACCAAGGCCGTTAAAGGAAATAAACACGAACACTTTCACCCATATAGATAGCCACTTGTCAGTTCTAATTGACAATAGAAACTGAAACAGGTCGGCAGGGAAATGGAGGGAAGTGGGTGAAAGCGGGAAATGACCAAGTGGGTGGGGCTTTTCAGAAATCGCCGCCCGGGGCACGAGGACAAGTCGACCCTTGTTGAAACTCAATCAAACGCCCACGTATCCGTTGAAAAGTTCAAACAATGAAGTTCCTGCCACTTTCGAGCAACGAAAGTGCTGCTGATTCTGATACTAAGGCCGATGCTGATGACGATGCGAATGCCAAAGCTGTTGCCTGGCCCCAGTTAAATAGACAATTTTGCACACAAATCCATTTAATCTGGAGATAAATAACATTTAGGTCCGGGCTCAACAGCCAGTCCGTGCTGAATGTTAGACTCTATATCAGCACTTGGAAAAGTTTCTATATAGTACATAATGTTTAGGGAAAGACGAAGTAAGAAAGTTTTTTCTCGGTAAGCAGGCTTAAAATATTTTACTTTGTTTTGGACTATTTTACCCTAAAAAAGTTGCTTAAAATCGCCTAAGGCACTTTAATAATATTACTGATTAAAAAAACATTTTTGACAAAATTGTGAAAAAAATTACACTGAAGAGATTTACCTCTTCTTAAAACATATTCTGAGTTTAAGACCGGAATAGGGTCGTACTTATTTTTGTAGTGCACACGAAAAGCCCAAAAGGTCCTTTTGGGGGGCACTTAACGCACACGGAATTCTTACGCAGCAACCTAATGATTCCCCCCATATCCTGCGGTCCGCCCACAAAATGGTTGCCCAGGACCTTCGGCTCCGTTGCGTTTCCGTTATCCCCTTCCTTCCGCATCCGCACCCGCATCCACATTCATATCCACATCCGCATCCGAATCCGCTCGCATCGATTTGTGAGACGGCAATAAAATCCACTGTGATTAGGTTAAAACTGTTGACTTTCGAACAGGGCTCTCTGTGAGCTCAGTCTGCTGATGTTTTGCCTTTCCATCGAGGGCGAATCAAAGTGGTTAACCCCCCTTGGAAGCCCCGCGAATGACTGGGTAAATCGAAAGAGATAAAAATACCCAAATAGCATTCGGCACCAGCTTCTACCGAAATGTGATTGTGTCGTACTCCCCCCTTCGCTCTTCGAATCTGGGCACCCGCCCCGCAGTGTGACACTCATTTATTTAATGGTTTTAACTTCCAATTTTCCAATTGTCAGGCATGCAGTCTGGTGGCCATTAACCAGGACCAAAAGGAAAAAAGAGCCACAACGGAAGTGCTTTTGAATAGAGAGTGAATAGTTAGACCTCGTTAACAGCGAAGTTTGAGTACCCTTTTAGCGAATTAGGTTTATTACAAAATGAAATAAATAATTTTCCATTTTGCCAACATTATAATATTTATACCTGTTACTCGTAGATTCCGTCCGTCTATCTGTCCGGCCGTATGAACGCCTCGACTATTATTATTATCTTTTAATTTTGGCAATTCCTATCGATATAACTAAACAAATTTTTCGTGCCGCTTTGCAATTAAGTAATTTAAAAAAAATGTTGTACTTATTATCTACCGCACCACCAAATGATTAAAAATCATTTTCAAATAAACTCGTCTTTTGAATTATTTGTATTATCGTGTCGTGTCTTTGATTTTTGATTGCGTTTTGTTATCAAATAAGTAACCAACCAATCCAACCAATCAAGCAATCTCGTAGCTATCCAATGCAGTTCAATAATTTCTTTCCGGAGAGGTCAGTATTTTGGTAAGTTTAATATTTAACATTTTATTTTATTATGACATCTTATCCAGCCCAATATCATTCACTTTTGTGATCCGCGTTATTTAGTATAGTTTAATGACTCTTAAAAATTCTAAATATCAAATGCTACATCAAATCCCGACTCTTTTAAACGACTCTTTTTAAAAAAAATTAATTTGGAAACTAATTTTCCAGTGAAAATTGTATCCTTTACCCTGTCAATCTATAAAGTTTATACCGGAATAGTTCACTACCGATTATTTTGTAACTATGATTGTTACAACCACGACCAAATCAGCAGCATTTAAATTATTAATGTATCCATTAAAAACGTTCTTAATTAAAAAAGATAATACTATTAAAAATAGACTATTATATAATTGTCTTTTAATTATGCAGTGAATACACTGTGCATATACCTAAAAATCATGTAAGCAGAGTATATCAAAAACCCCGATCACAATTGATGAGCTTAATAAACAGTATTATATTAAAAAATCAGCACACCAAAAACCGTTTCATTTAATTCAACGAATATAAATGCCAATTTTAGGTTTGTTACCAGGGAAATCTTAATAGTTTGACCACATGGGACTGTTGAAATAAATAAATAAATGTAGTTATTACTTAACACCCATCATTAATTCATTATTAAACTGAAACTTCTCAATTTCAATTCGATTTGGATTCGACCCAAACATATGCATAACAATTTCCATCAATTGTTCTGCATCAATTACCTATTCAAATACCATTTAACCGTAGTCAAACGAACACTGCTTTAATTATCCATATACTAAACCGTCTACTCTGGTTTCATTCCAGCACATCCATCAACAGGAAAATCCCCTCTAAAGCAATTTCTGAAATGTAATTCAAAATACCATTGAATGGGAGTTACACAAGTGTTGAGATCTGCAAAATTAACAAATCAAACCCGACAAAATATTCGTTATACCTTCAAAATGCTTCACATGTCAGTGAATAATGTGCTGATGCTGCACTTGATTTGTGCCACTGGAAATGGAGGGAAAATCAGAAATGGAAAAATGCCCTTAAAAGCTAATGAGTTTCAAATAAATATAACAAATGTGTGCACGTGTGCGATGATATAAAATGCAAAATCAGTAGAACAGGATAGTCAAAAAAACCAAAAAAAAATGAACAAAATGGCACACTAAAGTTTACAAATGCAAATAAGATACTAAGCCAAGTCAGCAGCAACAAATATGTCATATGGCCAGGGAAAGAGACAGCACCATGCGACAGACAGAGATGGAAACGGAACCGGATAGACAGATGCAAATGAAAGAAAAGAAACGGGTAGACGGCGAGTGAAAGGGAGAGCACGAGCTGACAAACGAAAACATTTATGAGCGCTTCGTGCGTTTGTTGTTGACTTTTACAAAAGAATGGTAGAATATTTTTTAGCTATATGTGAGTATGCAAAATATTCCACGGCATTCAAATGCACCTAAAACAATGCCTAAGCCTAAATGCCTAAAAAGGAAACTGCTGTAAAGAAATATTCATAATATTTTAGTAAGTGAAGAACGTCGACCCTAACGTCGAAGCAAATAAAGACTTTTTAAGCAAATTATATGCAATTACAATAAAACTTATTTTTTGCAATCTTGCATCTTATATTTACGTTCAACACAGCAAAATATGAGACGCAAAGCCTTCAAAGGCATATACCTCCTATGATAACCACTAATGGGAAAATCTAGGACAGCAAAAAATCCTGATTCTTCCTGTGCACATGTTTGGCACACGCATACACATGTAGCTACAAGCTGTAGCTCAAACACAGGAAATGTAATTTGCATAAGAATAACACACAGACATGGGGGAGGGAAATTGGGGAAAACAGGAGGCGAATCGAGGGGAAAACCATGTGAATGTGGCTGCCAAGATATAGAGGGGCATATGGCACACATATTGAAGTGTAGTCTATATGGGATGCGAGGGGCGGGCCTGAAGTGTCCTTTAACGAGATTTGCATCTCATCATAATAATGTAAATGACGAAGAGGGCCAACAGAGGAAAATGTATGGGGTAAGCAACATTTTGGCATGGCCGCAGCACAAGTTTGCCCAAAGGGTTTTCTATTTAAGGCGGGATTACATACATTACATATTGCAATGAGGCCCATTCACTTTGGCTCAACGGAGACGAAGCGATTCAATTAGCTTAACCACTTCGGACTTAAATTGGAATTTGGCCGGCAGCAACAATTGAAGTTGCACAATTAAAGTTGAGTAATCCTGGATAAAACACAATGTATTTGGCTCATGTGCCACAGGGCGAATTTAAAGGAATTTGATTGCTTCATCATAAACTGCATAGAGTAATACTACTCACTTTATGGTATTGAAGTAACTGACATTTTGTTTGCTTTCAATACCATGTGCAGCATTTTCCGTTGAGTAGAAAACCAAACTTTCAAAAACAGACGTCTTGCCGTCATGAAGAGAACTTGCAAAAATAAATCGATTACTGCCGCTAAGTTTCAAGTGGAACATTTCAAAAGTGGGCTTTAAATATCTCGAATTGAAGGCATTGGATTGCACATAAGTAAAGTAAACAATTTCAGTTTTGTAAAAAAAATAGTGGTGATTTACATTTAGGTTACCTTTTTATTAGCCCAACCAACTCCAATACATAATCTTTGGCTAATTGTATGCCAACCATTTCTTGTGTGCATTTTCAACGTATTGATCATACGGCCTAATTCTTAATTTATTATTTGAAATGTGAAATATAAACTCATTATTGTTAAAAACTCCTTCGCGTAATTTTCTGTATTGTGTTCTAAAAGGGGATTACCTTTGTTTTTAAATAATACAAATGAACAATATGGCTGTTTAAATACATTATTCAGATTAATGTTTCTCAGATACTAAATTTTAAGCTGAAATTACCTATTTGCATGGAAATGAGATATATATAAGAAAATGAATTGCTTTTCGAAACTTAAAAGAGTACTCAGGTCATAAAATTGTTCAGTCTATTTGGAGAATTCAAGAGGTTAGCACCGGTATGAGACTCCTCGGAACTATTATTCTGTTGGGTAATAGCTTCTTTGCTTAAATAATCCTGTTATACACATCAATTTCATTATTCAACAGCAATTTTAGCCCTGGATATGTGCAATGCAGTAAAATGTGTTTTAACGTGTCGTACATTGGCTGGCGACTACGAAGTCATTGAGATATAAATGGTGTGTAATCTTTAAAGCTATAAATTCCCTTTAACGGAGCTTTAAATGAAACTGAAATAAAAGCTATATTGGAGTTAGTATCGTTAACAGATTAATAATTTAGCATATTAACATTAGTATTAGTCGGAACATTTGAAAATTGAAAATACGGTCCCGCTTTCAAAGAAATAAATTACTTCTGTGACATTTCTCATTACAACTGTCTCTATCCAATTTAAATCTCTAGCCTGACTCTAAGCCACAATAAAATACAGAAATCGAATCAATTTGCTCTTCATCTCTTTTTGATATTACCTTGTGTATACTGCTTTCCCGTCGACAAAATCGACCAAGTAGCTCGAGCATGCTACAATTTCAAGTTCTTCTTTCCGATTATTCTTCAAGTAGTTCCTTATTGATGACCATCAGTCGGGAATAGTTTGCCATCAAGGAAATCCGTAGCACAGAAATTCCTCGAACAAGCTTTCAGCATTCCCATTTCGCCTTGGTTGCCAATCATTTATTCACTTTCGATATCATTGGAGCTCCGCATTAATCCGGCATTTGTTTCGGGATGTTCTCCTCAAAAGTATCACCTTATTGATGACCCAGTGGAGTGGGGATATTTTCGGTATATAGAGAACCCTTTGGTTCGGCCGTCACCTACGGCACTATTTACGGCCATTTATTCCTCAACGCTCCTGCTTCGACGGCAGGGCAAAGTTTTGTTTCTCGGTTTAGGGGCCATGGGTTCCAGCACTCCGGCAATACGGCACCACGGCACTAGGGCACTACGGCACTCCGGCACTCCGGCCACGTCCAATATCCAACCATGCACGCAAAAGTTTGCCAAAAACTTCTCTCGAGTCTAACAAATTCAATTTGTCAGGCCTGGCGCGCCTCGGAGTGCGGCTAATCCATTTACAATTTCAAAGTAAACAAACAAAATGTATCTTCAGCCCGAGCTGCTCCGTATCTGAAGCTCAGCATCAGCCCGGCATCAGCTCGACGAGACATTTAGCCCCGGTTTGAGTTTGAATTTTCGTTGGGATTTCCAATGAAAATGCAGCGGAAAGTTTTCTGCCAACAGCCAGCAGCTTCATTCGGTAGTTTATGCAGTTTTTCCTGCCTACTTTTCACACACTCGAAGCAAAATACTTAAAACGTTCTCTAAAACAAAAACAAAAGCTAAAACTAACTGGGAACATAAACAGTGAGTATTGGCCAATTATTTTAGTAAACAAGGTACATTTTACGCAAATCCAAGTGTTCTTTTTCAAAGTTCTTAAAGCTAAGAAAACTTATTTTCGTTGAAATAATTGGATTTCCTACCGGTCTCTAGCTAAAGTTTAGCTAAGTTTATCTAAGTGAGGTAACTATTTCCTATATAATATATATACTGAATAAAGGCTTAGTTCAGGTTTCGAAATGAAAAATAATATAGAATTATTGATTAGTTTAGAGGTTAAACAAGTGAGTTATTTGAAGTCTGGGAACGTTTTTAGCAAACATGCGTGCAATTTTTTCCAGTGCAGGTGAAAGCAGCGACACGGCACTTGAGTAAAATAAAAAGCCCCATTCTTCTTACACTTTTCGCCTTGCCAAAATAAACAGTCAGCTGGTGGGAGGCCCTGGCGAAAGTTTATTTGCCCTTAAAGCTGCAGTTGCTATCCTTTAATATTCTACTATATTTTTTGTTTGCCCCTGAATTGGCCCAAACAAAAGGACAACTGTGTTGCAAACTAAAGCTTTGCGTTTCTGGTGCCAAATACTTATTCAGTGGGCGTGCTAGAGCCGACATCCCATATTTTAGTTGGAATTGGTTTTTAAGGCTTAAGTTCTTAAGTCTTCAAAATCACATTTAAGCCTTGATTTATGAGTTGTGAAGAGGGAATTTATGAATACTGAACGCTGAGTAAATATTGCTGGATTTGGCTAATAGTTAAAATTTTAATTCCTTGCTATCAGGCACTTGGAATTGCCATTTAAATTGTTCACATGTGGGGCATTCGAAATACGCTTATACTCCCGGGGGGCACGCCTCGATTTGTGTGCCAAATTTATTTGAATTTAATTAACTGCTTACAATTTAATTGCTTTTCCGGCTTCATACATGAATAGCTTTTCTTATACATTTAGAGAATTAAAATTGCCTCCTAAATATGAGGAATTCGCCCTGAAAGTTTACTTATTCAAAATGTTAACTATTAAATATACGCAATTTCCCATTTCTCCTCCCACGTTAATGCTCTTAATTAAGACTAAAATTACTCCAAACTTAAGAGCAACAAATCGGTCAATTAAATATCGCGCATACGAACCGTGAGCACGATTCCTCTTAACCTGAATTTAATTAAAACTGGCCCAGAATTTAATGACTTCCGTATGCCACTTGCAGTATTTATTTAAATAACAACCTTCAATAGCTCATAGTTAAGGTGGGTTGGCGCCTCCTTTGTAAATTGTACAAGTACATAACGCGAATACGCCCCGTGGACAAGTTTCCTTTTCGATTGCCGGGAATTAACCTGAAAATTCAATTCGACGGTTTGGCATCCAGGCAAGAAATCTATATATAGCTATGTACATGTGTACATATTTATATACCGAAGGCCCTTAACGTACATACATATATGCGCGTCTGTGTTTTTCCCCGTATTTTCGTGTAATGCCAGCGGCGGCAATTTCTTGTACAACAATTTGTGAGTCTGCTGCGCTCAGCACTCACGTAATGAGCATAAACTAAAGGCACAAAAAGGCTAACACCCACACACTTACAGGGCCCACTAACACCGAGATGGCCAAGAGAATATCGCGCTTCCGTGCACATAATTGGTGCAAAAAGTTGCAAAATTATCACGGAAGCAAAGCCGAAACACGTACATACATCACCGCCGGCGGACGCGAGATGGCATAATGTGAAGGGGGCACTTCCTCCGATCCTGCACTTCTCAAAAACCTGGACTTTACTTTTAGCTGAGATATTTCATTTTACTGAGATACCCGTTGCTTGGTTGTTTGTAAGCATTTGGTATGAAACTAAAAAGATATCAAAAGGATAGGTCAAAAATAAATAATAATTTTTAAAAATTTATTTAGGGATTTTTTGAATTATTTTTACTTTTATAGGTATGCCCAGCATGTAGTATACATATTTTATGGTTTTATCAACCCGTTAGGACCCGTTCGTTACAAAAATTTGGAAATCCTGTCCACCTGTCCTGTAAAATTCAAAATCTTTAGAAATTTTGTTCCGTGTTTTCCCTCACATTTTCACGTTTTTAGGCTATTTTAATGCGGAACACCTTGTGACCCGGCTGAGCCTTAAAAAACCATCGCTGGAAGCCAAAAGCCGGGTTCACTTGGCCTTTGGGCGGCCAACGGCCAAAATTTATTGAAGAAAAGTCAACTGAACTAATCCCCGACCCTAATTACTCATAGAGCCCGTGGGTTACAAACCTTGTCCAACAATTACATCCGTGCAAAGTCCTATCCACCGAATAAAAAAAACCGGAGCGGAAAGGCGGAAAATGTTTCACTTTATGTTAAACTGAAGAGTTTCCGCTTTTGGGTTTTTGGGCAAGCAATTAGCTCGCGCATAGTGATTAAAAAGTGGAAATGCTTAAGTCAAGTTGATTACATGACGATTGCAATCTACAAATGGTGGTCGTATTTACTGAGTCTGGAAAAATTATAGAAATGCTTTATTTGTATGTGCACTTAAAATTACTGTTGCTTTAATTTATTTTAAAGAGTAAGACCACATTTAGTTCCCTATATAAAAATCCTTTGATGAATCGAGGAAAAGGTTTCAATTGCATGTACATGGTATACTGCATGCCCTTTATTAATCAGTCATTCATCATAATTATTTTTAAATAAATTACCCTTATTCAATTGAGATGTCCCACTCGGCGACACATTAATTTACCTAGAACAGTGGAAAAAGTAATAAATTTCACCCCTTTTCTCGCTGCAGGAAAAAGTTCATTTCGTTTGCCCAAAGACATGTTGATTCACATTTAATTTAGTGTAAAAGGCAACTTCTTTTTCATTATTATTCATGTTTACCAACTAATAAAAAGCAAAACGTTTCACTTTACGCCGAAACTGGGGAAGACTTTGAGCCCCATGGGCGACTCAGAATTACACTGGCCAGCAAGAGTGCTATTAAGTGAGCATGGTGTGTGTGCGCTGGCCATTAAAAAGTTTCCTTTACCTCGACCGCCAGTCCCCGCTTTTCCGCTTTTCCGCTCTCCAGCTGCTTCTGTTACTTACTGGGTGGATACTGCTACCGATTCCGATTCAAATCCTGGTGGTGCTGCCATTGGCACCTGTGTGTTGCCAGTTGCCAGTTGCCAGTTGCCGGTGCAACTGAAAATACGTTTGCATATGAATTTTTCAAAATGTTTTTTCCACTGACCTCGTTTACGGGTCAGAGCAGCTATGAAAAGTTTGCCCTGCAAACTAAATTGCCGTTTGCAACCGGAGGAGGGAAGACACGGTAGCCGGCTTTGAGTTTTCCTTTCTTTCTCCTCATTTTTTATATTTTTAACATTTTTTCTTTTTGGCCAGCACTGCGCTGAACCCACTTCTTGTTTTTCTCTCTTTTGCCCCTTTTACACAGGCGGTGCAGCATATTGAAATGCGATTACAGGGGTGCCCTGGTGGCTCGTGGATTCATGTTCATTAAACATGCATAAACTCACACTAGCGAACACCCACTTACACAAGCACAGTGACACGGACACGGACACGGGGAAAGTGAGACGGAAATGGTTAGGACATAGAGATAGCACAAAGCTGTACGCTTGGAAAAATGACTGAGAAGTATTTTTAATTGCCCATCTAATAAGGGATTTGTGAACCCACCCTGCAAAAGTGTTAGCCAAGATGTATTACATGAACCACTTCCTACCTACCACTTAATACCTATTTCTTAGTAACTTATTTTCAGAACCACAAACTATTTAATGTGTAGGAATGACAGAACTCATTTCCAGAGCAGATGTCCCTAGGCACATGTAAACAGTTCAAAATTTCAACGCTATATGCTAATTTAAAATCAATTACACGACGTGGCGACGACACTTTCCCCAAAAATACAACAACAAGACTTCCAAAGCCCCCTGCTGAAATGTTCAAGTGCTGGCAGTGAAATTACAAACAATAGGCAAGCAAATAGCAATTGGAAATGCGTACAAGTCAGCAATGTTTGGCAACAGTTGGTGTGAAAAGTTTGTGCCTGTCGAAAGTGAATTTACTTACGACAGAAAGTTGCTGCCAAATACCAATACCAATACCTATACGAATGGGAAAACATCAAAGCCCCCAGGCAACGGCATCTTTCTATTGGCAACACTTTCAACCACACTGAGGAAAATTATTCTAGAGAGAAGAGAATAGGGAACTATTCACATATTATTATTAAACTAATATTCAAAATATTTTTCGCTCTGCAATCCATGTATTTCGGCAAAGAAGAAAGATAGAAAGAAAGTTTTATTTGAGGATAGTCGACTTAGCGATACCCGGTACTATACCAACCTTGCAGTACCTGTTACATTCTTTTCAGCAAGTGCATTATACCCGTTTATTCTATAAGTAACGGGTGTAAATATATAGGCTTAGGGAAAAACTTTTCTTACTACTACATTTGGCGACTCAGCAAACTGCCGAATTGAAGCCATCTGTCTGTGGTTGGGTGGGTTTAGTGGTTTCAGATGGTTTCGGGTGGTTCTCGGCTGGTTTCCCCCCAAGATGAGGTAGACTTAGTGTCATGTCTTCTTGCCTCCACGAATTCAGGCACACATATGTACGTTTCCCCGAAGGCTGGGAAATTGAAACTGGAGGAAAGCAACAGTTTTTCGTGCACTGAAAAAAACTTAAGAAGTGTGGGGAGGGAAAGCGGATAAACAAGAGCGAGCTATTATTATTAAAAGTCACGTTGAAATAAACCAAACATAGTAAGCATAGGTAGCAGAAGGAAGAATTCGTGGGAACTTTAATCAAACTGAAATTCAAAGAAGAAGAACTCATGCATTTTGATATTTAAACAGAATCATAAATAATAGTTGTAATTAAACTGAAATTCAGAGAAGAACAACTCATGCATTTTGAAATTTAAACAGAGTCATAAATAATAGTTATGTTAGTAACAAAAAATCAAAAATCAGAAATAAGCTATCAAAAAAGTCCAGCGCATTGACAAAATAAAATGGGCACTTTCTTATGCTCTAAAGGAAACGAAATCTACTGGAAGAGCATTATTATAATGGTAAACATAAAATTATACACCCTTTCGTAAACTATTTTTGCCCCATTGATTTTCCTCGGAGTGTTTTCACATCCGCTTTCGCAGCATAGCTATAAGTATACGAGTATGCGATTCAACAGGACCACATTTTCCCGGACACTTTCCATTCCTTTTCTTTTTATTTAACTTAAATAAATACATTCAAGTGGATACAGCGGTGGGTGTCAGTGCCACGTTCTTTATGGTAAAAAGTTCAGGCCGTCAAAGAAAAGTCGAGTGGAGTCGGCTGGGTTGGGTAAATATATGTGTTTGTTCAGACACACTCGCACAGAGGTACGTATGTACATAATTTAGTGAACTTGAAACTTGCCTCCTTCTCGTCCTGCGCCATATATATGTATACACGAACCTACATATTTGTATATCGGATGTCAAGGAGCTGGCCCCTTCAATAAAAACAGATAGAGGAGGTATATAAAGAAGGAGCTGAGGAAAATTTCATGCTAAGTAATTTATATCGGCGCGTACAGTGGTTGCCGAAAATCTGAAGGCCAGGATTCTTGCTCCATTTAAGTTTATTTAATTAAAATTAATTGCTTCGTCCTTGCACAAAATAAATTCCCTCCAATCAATTAGGTCCGCAACTATTACTCATAAGTTAGTGCCAGCACAACCAGAGAGATTTAATTGAACTTTTTCCATGAGGGAAAGACTAAATCATGGCAAAATATTTAAGCTGCAAAATGCCTTTCATATATGAATATGTAATGGTATCTTTTAATAACAATATATTTATTACCTAGGCAATAGCAATGATAATATATTACTATATTACTATAAGCCCTTTGCGTTTACAGCCTATTGTAAGGAGATATGCTAATCAAATTCTTTTTAGAATATTTTCTCTGAATGAAAAAAATTTCTTATGAAATGCCACAGTACTCGTGTGTATATGGCGGAAGAACACACATAAAATAAAATGCATTATGTGTGTATGAGGCAGCATCAGCAAGAAAGGCAGTATCAGCTTTTTAAAGATTTAAAAAATATTCCACGCAACGCATCGGAGAGCAGGAAATTGATATGCACTTACCGGCAAAACGGAAGTCAGAGGAAAAAGTAAAAATATAGTAAGATATGGGAATAAACCTGGACGAATGGCGATTCTGAGGAGAAAGCAGCTGAACAGCTGTAAAGTATGCTAAGAATAATACTGGAAGGAATGGAAAACCTTACCAGAAAGTACTGCTGCGAAAACATGTAATATTAACGATAATTCTGATGTCATATTATATGTCTTAATAGGTAATGTCGTAATTTCAAATCTCAATATAGTAAAATGCAAGATATACAAAGTAATACTACTTTTGAAAAAGTATACCGTATACAGCGGAATAAATGTTTAAATTAATAAAATGGTCAAATATTTTTAGGATCCGAAGCCCCAGAAGGAAACATTCCACATAATGGTAAGATTTTCTCGGTGTAAAAAAGAAGGATCGACTAGAATGTGAAGACTATATGACAGACCGGAAACATAGTACGGTTCCTCATTTTATATTTTCCATAGCTTTTTTGTTTAGCCAGCTGCGTGTAAATTGAAAGATAATAACGAAGGCGGAACAGGAACAGGATACGGGAAACCAGGTGAGTGGAGTGGCAAAAATGAAGCGCAGCAGAAAGATGTACCAAAATGCCAATGGAAATCCATTCCCCAACCTCGCATCAATCACACATGAACTCTGATTGAAAGCAAATCGCAGGTAAACAATGGATATAATGATGATGGGAAGACGTAATCGATACCCTTGTTCGTTACTCCTTCGAGCATTTGATTAAAATTTGTCGAGTTACCCAGTGTCAAAGCAATCAATTTCAAAGACAACAAAATTAATGTGTGACATTTAATATATTTCACTTGAGCTCTTTGTCATTTTCAATAACATCGTATAAGAAACAAAAAAGGAAATCGCTCTGGAAGGCTGAATCTTAAAAGCCTTGCTGTAATTAAATATTAAAAAAAAACTGGCAACGAAAAGAAATCATTTTTGAACATAAAACAACGAAACTATGGATTATTTTCTAATACTACTATTTTATACTACCTACAATAGGAAGACTTTTGAAAGAACACAGCTTTAAAACTAAGGGACAAGTTCGATATAATGTATATACGTACATTATAGGAAGTATGAGTGAAATCAATTTACTCTGTGCTAGCGAATTATAATTTTATTTATTTATATCTAGTAAATCTCGAATATTTCCAAATGCAATTGTAACATTTGATGTTGCAGTTGCCTTCCAGACCTTAAGCATCAACATAGATTTGTAAGTATAATATTTCTAAAAATATATTTTTAAAACTTCGTTTTTGATCTTAATCAAAACAACAATTTGTTCATTCATACAACCAGTGTATGTGGTCGGTCTGTTTCGCACTTACCGAAAATGTTAATGTTTGTACACTTTCGTTTCACAACCACAGCACCGCCGAATTTTTGAACGATTACCTCAAATTAAAAAAGCAATTTCATTTTATGACACTTATCAAACGCTTCACGCAACATAAAGCAGGCGGACCCTAAATAATTCTCGTTTAGAGTGCAAAATAAATCGCATGCGAATTAAACTAGACCAAACTGCAATTCACCTGGAATAGCAAACGCATCCTAGCAGCTGGCAAACTATCAGCTGATTGTGTAGGCGGGATGTTTGAGTGAAGAATCTTTAAGGATATTCATTTTTATTTTGTACATGCATTGGGTTCTTTACTGAACATATCAATTACATCAATTATTTCAGAAGATTCCTATACTAAATCAATTTATATATGACACATATTTGAAATATATGTATGTATATTTAGGTGAAAAAATGTATTTTCCTTATTACAATTTCGAGTTTGTTTTTACTTTTATGTTCATAAAATAGCTGCCATATTGCGAAGATAATTCGTTCAGCGTCCAGCGGTAGATATTAATTTCTTATTTTGTACACGCATTGGATTCTTACAGAACATACAATTATATCAATTATTTCAGAAGATTCCTATACTAAATCCATTTATTTATGATACATATTTGAAATATATGTATGTATACTTAGGTGAAAAAAGGTTTTTTCCTTATTACACTTTCGAGTTTGTTTTTACTTTTATGTTCATAAAATAGCTGCCATATTGCGAAGATAATTCGTTCAGCGTCCAGCGGTAGATATTCATTTCTTATTTTGCACACGCATTGGATTCTTACAGAACACACAATTATATCAATTATATACTAAATCAATTTATATATGATACATATTTGAAATATATGTATGTATATTTAGGTGAAAAAATGTATTTTGTTTTACACTTTCGAGTTTGTTTTTACCTTTATGTTCAAAAATAGCTGCCATATTGCAAAGTTTATGCATTCAGCGTCCAGCGGTAGTTACTTTGCTGGGAAGAGGACCTGCCGAACGTTTTAGGACTATTTTGAAGTTCTCGCTAACCGTGTAGTCCTCTTTAAACACAACAATCAGATTAAGTTCAAACTCTGGAAAGAAAAAAGAAAATAATGCTACGCGTAAGAAACCAATACAATTCTCACCGATTTTAAAATTCTTGGTGAGCAAAGTGGGGCAGGTGAACAATCTTGGCAGGACCATATAGATGGGTAGTTCCAGCTTCGGCAGCACATTGCCGTCGGCTATTTGAATGGTCTGGATTTCGGTGGCATCCTTGGAGTAGCCCTCGTCGCATCCGCAGGTTTCCACACGCACCAACTGCATCTCAATGGACTTAATGGCCGCCTCCGTGTGCTGAACCATAATGCTGCCAGTAATCGCAGTTGTTACGCAGAACTCGCTCCGGTCCAGACGCCCTGTGATGAGGAATCTCGGCATGGACAATCTCTCCTTGGCGCTGGCATTCTTCTGCAATGAATCCGGACTCAAACTGAAAGGAACCACTCTCCTTGAATCCTCGCCCAAAGCCAGTGGCTTGTATTGCACGCAGAACTGCTGAATTCTGGTCATGGATTTGCCAAGAAAATTCCTTTTTACAGTGCAAGTGAGTTGGTAATTCACGTTGATGAAAACACCGTGGTATGTTTCATAAAGAATCCGTGGTTCCTTTTTGCACACCAAAGGCAGTTCAAAATGGAACTCCGAACGGCCGGCGCTGAGTTTCCCGGGCGCAGATAACTCCAGACTATTCTGGAGCAGATTAATGGGTTTCACCGAATTATAGAAAGCATCGAAAAGCCCAACGGTTTTAGCACTTAATTGGAGATTAACGATTCCCTCCAGATACAAAATAATTCCTTCATGTTTTGTCTCCTGTGAGCACTGAAACTGCACGCAGCCCAATAGCATGTCCTAGGAAATATATATTGTAGTAAAATAGCACCATAAGTAATCGGTAAGTACTTACATTTTCATGGTAAACCTTATTCTCTCTCTTTAATTTAATATCGAATAGTAGTGAGCTCATTTTAATCAGTAAATGAAAACAAATAAAACAGCTGATGTATCCTAGGGCGATCTGGCATCCCTGGATTCAGCTGTCCAACAAGTGGACAGTCCCAAAATCGGGGAAACGAAAACAATCTCGTTTTTATATAAGTTTAATTTTAACATTTTTATTTAGCAACAAATGCCTCGCAATATCAATGCGGAGAGGGATAATCCCTGCCTGAAGGTTCGTTTGCTATAAGAAAATTAATAATTCTTTAATTATATATTTACAAAATAGGAACAGGAGCTTTCATTCAAATGTCTCAACAAAAACAACTTTGATCGCGACAAGTGCGAAATATATTTTGCAAATTATAACAATTGCAAGGAGTTCTGGGTGGGTTCTTCAATTAAAGTGATTGTTTTATGAACTACATTTTTTTTTCCAATAGAACAAAGTAAAAAGCGAAAGGAGAGCGAAGGGAATTGCTCCATATTTGCCGCCATTGGAAGAGCGCGATGCGATCAAAGCTGAATATATGAAAGAAAAACCCCAGCAAAGCTGATATATGTTCCTTCCTATTTAATACTTTTTGAATATAAATTAGCTACACAAGCATTAGAGCTATTTGTTGTATAGAGACTACATGAAGACTATATATCTTGTTTTCAATAACATTTATTTTCAACTAGACTTAAAAATCGCATATATCCCTTATATATGCCAAAACAGATTTAGCCTGAGCTGTGAATAGCATCGGCGCCAACAATTTTTAAAGCGGCCATGGACTCTTCCAACATGACCGTGGCCAATTCCAATTCCAGAGTCTCCTTCGGATCATCCAGGATCAGTAATTTAAGCTGAGGAAGACGATACAGGCAGGCCAATCCGTTGGTGGTGATTTGGGTGCCCGAAAGGTCAAGCACTTCCAGGTGGGGGAAGCCACTTCCCGAAATCCTATCCAGACACCAGTCATCAAAGTGTTTCACGTTGTGAAAGGACAGGAACTTAAGGGAGTCCAGGCAGCGCAAGTTTTCCAATCCTTCGTAGTAGAGTTCCATGTTATCACACCTCAAGGCCTCCACTTTATAGCGGGGATCGAACTTATTAGGCAGGTTGAATTCGCCATCCTCGGTTGCCCGGCGCCAATGATTATCGTTGACGAATTTGACGGCCCCGCCGCGGTACAGTATGAAATGAGCCGCAGCCAATTCAGCGCCCAGAATCTTGTGCCTTTCCGGGACAAACTGCTGCATGTGTCGCTCAACACGCTCCTCCCGGTTCTCCAACCACTGTCGTATGTTCCTAGGACTCAGATCGATTGGTTTCTGCATCATCACGATGAAATCTGAGTTTTGCTCCGCATTGGAGAACAGCTTCAGCTTGCTGTTCCAATCCTCCGGCCGGTCGCCAATCGGAGTGCGCCACTGAAGCTTCTGCTTATCCGCTGCCAATTCCGCGCGGATCCTCTTCACCGTCGCACTGACCTCCTCCTCGCCCGGCTGTGCCTGATTTATGGGCACGGTGGACGCCGTTCGAATGCCACATCGCCCTAAAGAGGGAAATCCACGCGACACGCGCTGCAACATTCTTCAATTGGGATTTCAATAAATAAATTTTAGTGGGCAAATGTATTAGAGATGCACATGTTATATGAACTGCGACGTGTCACGACGAGAACTTAACTATACGATAGTTTCTCTATTACTTATATGTTTATTTATTTATTGATTAATAACAAATGCATTTATTTTTTTGATACCATAAGCAAACAGAAAGCTGTATATATTACATTATTAAAGATGAAAGTTCAAATAGTATAATTATATAAAAATACAATATTTTTAACAGTCAGAACAAAATATCTGCTTATAAATTGATGGCTTTATTCAAGTTCATGCGTGACTCACGAGATGGGCGCGTGAAATCACAGCAGCTGACGCATCAGCTGCTAGCACTGAATTCTTCGCCGAGTTGGCAGCACCGCGCTGATGCGACGCCATTTTGCTTTAGCGTGCTGTCAAACGCTGAATTTCACATTTCCACCACAAGAAAAAAAGAAGAGAAGAAAGAAACGCAGACGACCTTTGCTGAAGTGCGTGAGATACCACCGAAAAAACGAGCTAAATCACTTAAATGCTGATTAACCGCCAGCCAAACTATTGAAACCAACGGCAGCTTGGCGAACGCCGCAGAAACCTGCCGACAATTACGTGAACCAACGCAAGGGCACCCGTGCAATTGGCATTTTAATTGGCGACTTTAGCTGCGAACGGCGCGCCGAAAAATGGTCAATTCGTCTGGCAGCGAGGATGGCCAGCTGCGGAGCCCCAACGATGGGCATTATCACAGGTGTGTATTATCCCTGGGGTCTGGGCAAATTCAGAGATTCGGTGTTCTCAATTTGCGATTCATGGAAAATTGTTGCTGCATACATACAAAGAGGCGTACATATACACACGGGTGCTGGTTGCACGGCGGGAATTCCGCTAGAACTCTAGCCAGATTTCTTGTGGTATCCCGCCGTTGACATATCTCGCCTATTCATACAGCTGCGGTCATGATAATAGTGGTCAAGAGTATTTTAAAAGCATACATCAAATTAGTTTGTAATAAATAATTGGTCCTACCAAGCTCGATTATGTAAAAAGTATAAATATATTTGAAACATTGATAGGGAATTTACCTTATTTTTTCCTTTTTAATGTCTCATAGAACAATTTAATTACTTTCCAATCAGTTCAATGGTGAGGAAATCTAATTTAAATAATACGCAAACGTGTTTATGCATTGACATCATTGACAAATCCAACTATTATTTTGACCACATGTGTACCAATAACTGTTGCATGTGTGTATGCAGAGGGTGGACAATTTTCCCTCCACCATCTTTATTAGTTGACTATAACGAATAGTACATGCTAATTTTTTAATATTGATACCAAATTTGCGTTTGTAAAAAGAACATTCGCTCCTAATATATATGTACATGTATATCACCCCAACATCCCTTTCGCGCTTGTTTGCTCTTCTTGATAATGATAACAAAAATACCAAACCAAAAGAATACAAAACAAAACCAATTTATGACGATTTAAAATTTATTGATTTTATTGAACTGTTTAATTGACTTGAATTTTTTCGTTGCAAATAGGCCAAAAAGTGTGTACTTGTCCCATGACCGAGGCGCGCGATGGCCAACAACAAACATAATAATAATCGTAATAAAAATAAAAAAAGAACCAACAAACCTATTAAAATAAAAAAAAAAAAAACAAAAAAATGCAAATTTAAAACGAACGAAAACAGTGCAAGCTATGTGCAAATTCGAGTTTAAAACTGTGCACCTGCAGTGTCAACGGCAGATGGGACCGAATCTTCTCAAGCCAACCTACACTAATCTCGCTTGACCCGCCGCTGGCAAGTTAAATGTGTTCCGAGAACTGAATACCGAAAACCCGAGAATCGGAATAGAGATCCGATAAGCTCCGAACCGATGGATCGATCGATTCGATCCCTCTCATGTGCTGCTGGCGGTAAATTGTAATACTCTGTAATACTCTCAATTGAATGAACACACACAATATTGTACTTATACTACTTTGTTAATGCCTCTTTCCAAGTCCTGTCTCAATGTCTTTCGTGTCTCTCTGTCTCTCAAAAGATAACTACTCCCATTCCCAGCAGGTTGCGCAGTCAGTCGTGTAAGTGTTTGCATTTTACAGCCCTTGGGAGCTTTGGAGCTCCGAGCTTCATGGAATAGTTACGGGATCCGGGATCAGGTAAGTTCTCCATTTGATTGCACTCAATGGTGGGTCGATTTTCATTTTATATCATTTGTATATGTTTATATACATTCCTATTTACACAATTTAGAGTCACCATTTACCAGATTTACAGACTTCTTATTCGAACATTCATTCTTAAACAACCCAATGATTGCTTGTCTCCATGACTTCCAACCTTGTTTGTCTGTCCTCAAATCGACTCACCAAATTTCGCTCGTTGCTGCTCAAATATGGAAAAAAAACGCCAATTATCTGAGCAACACCGAACAGATTGCCGCAAAAAAAAAATTCACTTATGATTCGCAGTACTGCACCAAAGTTTCTGTATCTAATCTCGAAAGAATTCCAGAGCTAACGTGGACTCGAGCTTTTAAGGTCTCCAAGGGCTAGTGTAAAATGTAATCCGAACACCGACTGCAGCAAAACACGCAACCTGCAACGAGCAACATGCAACACGGTCAGAGCAGCGTCTGGTCTACTGGGACTTCGGCAGGCATCGGTCCAGAATCATCAGCAGATGGGACACCACTTAAAGCATGACACCATAATTTTTGACTTTCTCTCTTACTTTTAGCCGAGGCGAGGAGGATGAGCACGAGGGGGACTCTGACGCTTTGTACATACAACCACCGCAGGCCAGCCGAGAATCAGGGTCCGGTTCCAGACGAGAGAAGAAGAAACATTCCCGCGAGCGTCGACGCCACAAGGAACGGGAAAATGTAGGCGGTGCAGCACCAGGACCAGAACGGGATCATCGATATGACTATCGGAGCCGGGAGGAGCACTACCACCACCATCATCGCGAACGGAGCAGCAATGTGGCTGCAGCTTATGCGAAACACCACCTAGGCCATGCGTACCATTACCCCCCGCCGCCTCAACAGCAGCAACAGTCCCTACCGCCGGTGCCCAGCTATGCTGCTCACCATCATCATCATCACCAGCATTTAAGTAGAGCTCGAGCCGCTCCCAGCGATTACCATTCCTATCCATCGGGCTATCATTCGGGCAGTCGGCACGGCGACTACCCAATGGAAGAGCCAACGCGACGCAGTAGTAAATACGCGGAGAGCAAGGATGCTGAGAGCCTGGAACAAGATCTACGTTCCAGGTTGCTAAAAAAGCGGCATAACTACGTTAAGGACTATGAAACGGAGGAGAACTATGAGCATCGGGTCGAAAGAAGTGATCGGCGGGAAGGGGGACGCAAGGAGCGTGAGCGGACTGGGCGAAGTACCCACAAGCAAAACCGTCACGACCGAGTCATTGAGCTGCTGGACAGTCCCGAACAGGAGCACCACCATCAGCACCAGCACAAATCGCATCGCAGCAAGTGGCGTGAGGAAGTTGAGGTCAGCAGACAAAAGATGCCCGAGGACTTGGAGCTGTTGGCTCGCAGGGAAAAACTTCTTGCCGCTGAACGGGACAACCGGCAGCGAAAGCAGACGGCTCGTGAGGAACTGGAAGCTCGTCGGGAGTTGCTCCGCGAGCGAAACGAGCACAGTGATGCACTAAGTCCAACAACAGTGGCTGCAAGCGTAACCGCTGGTCTAAACATTCATGTAAAGAGGAAGTCTAAGCCGGATAGCTATGAGAAGGAAATCAAACTCAAGAAGCGGCGGGACGAGGATATCGAGGTCATCCGAGATGATGACGATGATGAGAGCGAAGAGAGCGACTCAAACGAGGAGGATCTCGAGGAGGACAGCGCAACAGAATCTGGAAGTGAAGACAGCTATGCTAGCAGAAAGAAGAGCAAGATTAAATCCAAGTCACAATTGGAAGACGACGACGAGGATTTACCCTTGCCCGATAGTCCACTTAGCGTAGGTGACCTATACAAGTCACCCAAACAGCGTCAGCGATCT